GCCACTCGCCTTTACCAAAATTTTGTGCTGCTACCGTCCACACGGCTACCTCAATAGAGCCGATGGAGACGAGAGCAAACCAAGCGGGCTAATATCTGATCTCAATATGACGATATGTTTGGTTCGGACCCAGACCAATTCCTCGTTACAGTTAGTTCCGTGCCGATGTTTGTCCACGTACGGAGTTTCGAGGTTGTATGTTCCGATCGAGTTGGTTGAATCAAACTTGCAAAATTGGAGCTCCTCCCCTCCCCCACATTCAAATCAGCGGGCTAAGATTGTTGTGCGCAGCGGAAATTTCGGCAGAGTTTCTGGTGCACAATAAGAGAGAAAGATCGATAAGAATTCCCGTCTCACCAAGGAAACAAGAATCTGAAGCGGATATCTCAACCAAGTGAGATATCGGCTCTTCCTCTCATCAGTTCTAGGACAACTATTACAATGGCCACAAACTCAAACAACCAATTTTACGTGGTTCGGCAAACTGCCTACGTCCACGGGGCAAGAAGGGGGAGATCTACTAATAGGGAAAGAGAATACAAATAGGGTTTACAATCTCTCAAATCTAAACCCTCACACAAATATCTCTCTCAAAATCAGCACAATAGACTGCACAAAACTCTCTTCACGAAGCCCTAAGACCTCTTTCTCTTTGCTCTGCACTCGATTGCAAGCCCCAAGTCTGCAGCCGCCCTTTGTGATTTCCTTGTACCTGCCTCTGCTCCTCACACGCCTCCAATTGCACACCCAAAACCCTAGAATCCAATGTGTATTTATAGGCCATGGTTCGGGTGGGCCTCTTTTGCCCACTGAACAAAACCAAAGAACACACCTCTTCACGCGTTTTCTTGTTGGTTGTGCTCTTCACGCGGATTGAAACATCCAAACGTACGCTGAGATCAGAAGTTGTTCACGTGATCACTTAAAAAAAAACGTTGGCCTATACTTTGCTGCTATCTCTTTACTTGGGCCTGACGTCTTCATCAAAGATCACATTCAGAAACACCGAAACCGTCGGTATCCACGGCATCATCGGCACTCCCCATAACTCCGGCCTCCTCCCCTCCCCCACAAAAACCCTGAACCCGAAAACCAAACTGCCTGCGGCCAGCACGCACGTGACTAACATAACGGTCTTCGCCGCGCCATCCGGCGTGCAATGCCACAACAGGACGAAGACCGTGGCAGTGAAAGATAAAGAGAGCAGAAAAGCAACAGTGCGGCGACGGTCGCTGTAAGGTAGATGACGGCGTTGGCGACCATGTAGAAGACGAAGAGGGTGCCGATGGAGACGAGGTTTAGTAGGATTCAATGATAATGCACCATACAATAGCATGTGCGAGTGCACGGTACTAACCAGGCAACCAGCTGGATATAAGAATACTATCACTTAACTTTATACTGTAGTGAACTTAACGACAAATGCATAGCTTCATATAAGCTTTACGTACATTTATTTTTCACACATATAAACAGTACCCGGTGTAAATTAGAACTATACCATAACAAGCATAACAAATAGAAAGCTGCTTTAGTGTGCTCACTATGTGTAATAGGCAACGTTGATGTTATCATGTTTTTGTATTGAGAAAGTAAAAAAATCTTAAGCATATTAGTCACTTGATATCATGACAAATAACTAACTAAAGATCGGTAAATAAGAAGTATTGGACAAATTTAAGAGTTAATTTTTTGTATTAATTAAGGGTTGGACTCTCGCAAGTTGAATGCCCTTTTACATGAGACGAAACGTGAGCTCACGTACGTAGCGGTATCAATTTTTTTTAAAAAACAGTATTAAATTCGTGATCGGTAATATTTAAAACTGGATTGTTCTGATACCATCTCAAATTTTAATTTTTCTAACAATTGTACCAAAATTTCAAAGTTATGTTGAAAAAGGAGGATTATATTTTTATAATAACAATAGGAGTCCAATCTAAATAAAAACCAATAATTAATTTTAACTGGCCGGGACAAAGCCCATAACGAGCCCAATATGACTCCCGTCGGCCAAACCGACGCGTTAACGGGTCGGATCTCCACTAACCTCCTTCCTTCAAAACAGCTAAAAATCCATATGAAAGCGATTCTCTCGCGCGGTATAAAAACCCAATAACGGTAAAACTCCAACCATAGAACCTCCGCCTCCTCCTCATCCTCTCTCTCTCTCTCTCTCTCTCTCTCTCTCTCTCTCTCTCTCTCGCATCCCTCTCTCTCTCTCTCTCTCTCTCTCTCTCTCTCTCTCCCTCTCTCTCTCCCTCTCTCTCTCTCTCTCTCTCTCTCTCTCTAAAATCCTTCATTAATAATGGGTGGAAAAAACCCACCACCACCACCATCATCATCAATCTCAAATCATGGGTTCTCTACTCTCCTCCTCCTGTCTCTCGTTCTTCTCTCTCTCCTCCTTATAACCATTACGACTCCATCGAGAGCCCCGTTGGAGTCGCCGGGGACATTGTCGAATGAGGGCTGCGATTACTCGAGAGGGAAATGGGTCTGGGACGAGGAGAGCGTTATCGGATCCTATTCGGAGGAGTGCCCGTTTCTGGACCCGGGTTTTCAGTGCGTTAGGAACGGGAGGAATGATACCGGGTACAGGTATTGGAGGTGGCAGCCTCACGGCTGTGATTTGCCTAGGTATTTTAATTTTTTTTTTATTATAATTAGTTATGTTTATGTTTTGTTAATTTTTTTGTGATTATTTGTAAGTAAATGCACCAAAAGTCTAGTTATGTATTTCATACGGATTTTTTTTTTCTTCTGTAGTTTGAAATCTAATTGTACGTGTTATTTGCTATTGAAACTTTCGCTAGTTTGTTACGGAAACTTCGACCGAGATTCCCTTTTACCAGAAAAAACTTCCAAAATATATAACATTTTCATTTAATTTATGCTTTGGTAGTTTTTGTAGTGAGACCTTGAAGGACGTATAATAAAAGATGTTCTCATGGTTATCATTATTCATTATTTAACCAAAAAGAAAGACACTGAAATATTAATAAAGCACGGAAAGCTTCGACTACTATGTATAACTCCATGTATATTGGGTAAATTTTTTGGTACTCAAGTGTAATAAAACTGAATTTGGGATGTCATATTTACTAAAATGTGTTATAAAATAAAACTCCCAGAAAAAAAGTTGACTTTTAGAATGTTTTCATTAATTTTGTCAAGATAACACTTTGACGTGCCCACCACCTGATTAGTTAGTTAGTAGCGTGGGAGGGCGGCAGGGAATATAAAATTAAAATTAAAATTGTGGATAAAGTAAGATCTTAGTGGATCCCTTTTTTTGTTATATATGCAACTTAATTCAGGGTGGAAATCTAAATGTCAACGAAGTTTTCGCTTATCTCAGATTAATTTAGGATCACTTCAAAAGCTCAAAGTCACTTTTGAGAAATTTAACGAGTTATCCAGCTAGCTTGGGACCACCACTCCCCTATAAATTATAAATTAAGGAAAATTTAACCAATCCAAATAACTTTAGAGTTGGCCTCAATACTATATAGGGAAAAATGCTTCCAGCCCCCAAAACTAATGAAAACAAGCTTCCCCCTCCCAAGACTTTTTCAACGCTCTCAAAACCCCCAAATTCGTAACAAATATGCACTGAGCCCCCAAAACACAAAGACCAAGAGTATTAAAATTTGAAGACCATAATACCCTTTCTCTCTCTTTTTCTTTCTTTATCTGTGATGATTTGAAAGGGTTCCTCCGTCCCTTTCCCCGATGGCGGCCGTCATCATGTCCCTCAGCAGGGTCCCCACCTCCGCGATGAGATTGCCCCCTCTGCCGTCAACCTCGCCGTCACGAGCATCGCCCCGCGCACCGGTATCCTCCCAGGATCCACATCAGCCTCCCCAACCTGGGCCCCACCATAGTAAAGCTGGAGAGAACGAAGCATAGTTAGGGTTTTTGATGAGGAGGTCGAGGGTCATGTTGAGCTCCACGCGGATGGCCGGGAACGTGACACGTGGAGAGACGCCGGTGACGGCGAGGATGAGCAGGAGGAGGTGATGAGCAAGAGGAGGATGACGAAGTTTACGGCGGCGGTCGTGGTGCATGTGCGTCGGATTTTCAAAACCTGGATTTTGTTTTAGGTGGTGGGCACTTGCTGTGATTTCGTGGCTTCCTCGGTTCGTTTTGAGATTGAGGAGGTGCAAGAAGGAAGTGGGTCATGTTAGTGATTTTAATATTTTTTTTATTTTTTGAAGGGTTAATTGAGGAGGTGGAAGAAGGAAGTGGGTCCTGTTAGTGATTTTAATCTTGTTTTTTTTGTTTTTTGAAGGGTTAATTGTTGGTAATTTTCTTTTTTCTTACTGATTTTTTGTAAGATTCGGAAACATATATAACAATATATTTTTAGAAAATGAATATTTCACTTTTAATTTTTAGGGAAATTATAATAATATTTCACTTTTAATGAGATTTTCAAAAGCCAAGTGATTTACGCGTTGGTTGTGAAGGTTACGCGTCGCTTGTTAAGGTTACGTGTTGCTTGTTAAGGTTACGTGTTGGTTGTTAAGGTTACGGGTTGCTTGTTATGGTTACGGGTTGATTGTTAAGAAATTTTTGCATGGAACTGATGATGGCTACGATATTCTACAAACCTTATTCCGGGTTACGGGTAACCTTATTGCTAAGAGCCTAAGAGCCTTGTTGCCAAGGTTACGTGTTTGTTGTTTAGATTACGGGTTTGTTGTTAATGTTACGGGTTTGGTTGTCAAGGTTACGGGTTGATTGTCAAGGTTAATTTCACAATAAACATGTAACATTAACAACAAACGCGTAACCTTGACAACAAACCCGTAACCTTGACAACAAACGCGTAACCTTAACAACGAATATTCTAATTAGTTGTAAAATTAACCTTAACAACAAACCCGTAACCTTGACAACAAACGCATAACCTTAACAACCAACCATTATTCTTAACAACGAATATTCTAATTAGTTGTGAAATTAACCTTGACAACAAACCCGTAACATTGACAACAAACGCGTAACCTTAACAACCAACCCTTATCCTTAACAACAAATATTCTAATTAGTTGTGAAATTAACCTTGACAACAAACCCGTAACCTTGACAACAAACGCGTAACCTTAACAACCAACCCTTATCCTTAACAACGAATATTCTAATTAGTTGTGAAATTAACCTTGACAACAAGCCCGTAACATTGACAACAAATGCGTAACATTAACAACCAATCATTATCCTTAACAACGAATATTCTAATTAGTTGTGAAATTAACCTTGACAACAAACCCGTAACCTTGACAACAAACGCGTAACCTTAACAACAAAAGTGTAATCTTAACAACCAAAATATATATACATATAAATCCCAACGTGTAACCTTAACAACAAACACGTAACCTTAACAACAAATCCGTAACCTTAACAACCGACCACTAATCTTAACAACCGACGACAAACCTTAACAAAACACAATAGGAGACAAATAATCAAACTTCAGGCTTAACATAGATTCTATTTATGCCATAAAGGAAAACATATCTCAATACTAAAACCTCACACACGCATAAATTAATTCGCATCCATCAAAGAACACCAACAACAAACTACAACCCACAATCAAAGATACTCTTTTTTTATTCCCACATACAATAACACTATTATTTAGTAAAAACAACCTGAAGCAAAGAAACAAGACAAATGCTACCTAAGTGGTGAGGATGGGGGGCATGTAATCAGACTTGGTTCAAATAACACGAGCCTTTGTATCGGGGAAAAACTCCGTCCTTGGGAGCTCTGTAACAACTCCTTCACTGCTTACTCCAATGGGATAGCTAAGTAAATGTCCAGGGAGATCGCGTTCCTGAGAGTAGAGATCCCAGTATTTGTCAGCGATACGCTTCACTTTCTGTACAAACTCGACGCTCTCTAGATGGAGGAAGAAATCAGATCGTCAATGCCGGGGAGACGGACTGCTCGATGATGGCGACGTTGATGTCGGGGTTCTTGGAGAGCTCGTAGGCGCAGGAGAGGCCGACGGATTCGCCGCCACCGCCACCGCCGCCGCCGCCGACGGTGTTAGCGTAGGTGATTATGTCGGACATGTAGCGGCGGGTCATCTCGCGGGAGACGATGGATTCTTTGATGGGGCGGAAGCAGATGGAGGAGAGGTCGTAGGATGTGGAGATTTGGGGGCGGAGGATGACAATGATAGGGAGGAGAAAGATTGGGTTTTGAAGGCGGAGATGAGCTTGAGGCCATGGAAGGAGGAGAAAGAGAGGAGGTTGCGGTGGTTAGGTTTGGAGAGGAAGGAGGATGTGACAATGGAGGGTATTATGGTCTTCACGTATCTTAATTTCTTGGGTTTTGTGTTTTGGGGGCTCAGAGAACACAGAGTTTACTTTTGGGGGTAAAACACACGTTGAAAAAGTCTTGGGAGGGGGAAGCTTGTTTTCATTAGTTTTGGGGGCTGGAAGCATTTTTCCCTACTATATAACTTTAGATTTCACTGTAATAGTGTAATGTGCTCATTTATGCTTGACAAGGTAACTTTTTGTCTTTGGCCCATGAATTTTTCCCCCATACTTAATTTATGGCCCTATTTGCCAAAGGGTTAAAGGGAGAAGAGTTAAAGAGAATGGTTAATGTACTTAGTCCATTCGATAATTTAAAGGGCTAAATTATTAACCCGTTAAATAAGTTTTATTTTAGCATTTTTGATCAGTTTTAGTGTCTGGGAATAACAATGATTTTGAATATTTTCTTTATAATTAGAAGGGTTAACTCTTAATCTTTCTAAACATGAGTATTAGTAAACCCCTCGTTTTGAGGGGTTAACTCATTTTAATCATTGTATAGATTTTTTTATCTTTGGCGGGTTAAGAAGTTGTTAAGTCTTCTTAACCCCTCACTTAACCCTTTGCCAAACGGTACCTATGAAAAGAAAACTAATAAAAAAAACCTTTAACATGTGTTAAACTCGAAATGCCACCTCCATACCCTTAAAGCTTAACAAAAATTCTTCACTTTTCCTACAAAATTCTTTCAAATTAGGAGAGTCTATGAATCGTTGACCTCGACATTGAAACTTAATTAACGAATTATTTTTTTTTTCCTTTTGCGTTGACCCCAGATTCAACGCTACGAAGATGCTAGAAAAGAGCAGGAACAAGAGGATAGCCTTCGTGGGCGACTCAATAGGAAGAAACCAGTGGGAGTCCCTACTGTGCATGCTCTCATCAGCGCCGACCAAGAACGAGTCCTCCATCTACGAAACCAGCGGGAGCCCGATCACGAAGCACAAGGGGTTCCTCTCCATCAAGTTCGGTGACTTCAATCTGACCGTCGAATACTACAGGTGTCCGTTCCTCGTCGTGGTCGGTCGCCCCCCTTCGGGTTCGCCCCGAGAAGTTCGGAGGGCTATCCGCGTGGACACGCCTCAGTGGATGTCCCAAAAATGGAAGGGAGCTGACGTGGTTATTTTCAACACTGGGCATTGGTGGACGGATGACAAGACGATCAAACAGTACGCGTCATAACTCTCAGGGCTAAAACATAAGGATTGGGATCCTCTACTAAGTTATAGTGTCTCCTAATATCTCCTAATGCATCTCCACCTTTCATTGCATAGTACATCATCGTATTTTGTACTTATGCACGAAATGAAAGGTGGAGATACATTAGGAGATATTAAGGAGCTACTATGCCTTAGCAGAGGATCCCAATCCAAAACATAACATGCTCGTGTTTCTATTTTTTTTAGCATACAAATTTTCTACTATAGCGGCAATTAATGAGTTTTTTCTGTTAAGTATGTGTTTATTTTCAACTAAACCGGTTTCGTTTTGGACCAGAGGAGAGGGTGGTCCAAGACAAAGCCAGCTTTAAAGGTCAAATTTAGCATTAGTAAAACTGGAGTAACGTTGGCCTAGTTTCACCCAAACATAAAGTTACTCAAAACAAACCAGTTCCAGCCCTAGCTTATTTGAACTTCTACAGAAATCAGTTATTTACTACGATGATGAGTAGGTAGACGCCTATAGTACAGATGACGCACGTGCAAACTTATTAATAAATTAAAGGTAATGGTTTTTAATTAGATTACCGATTTGATGATTTTGTTAATTAATTTATACAGGGGGAAATACTTTCAGGTCGGTGAAGCTTTGAACAGGACTCTGGACGTTAGAGAAGCATTTCAAGAGATGATTAAGACGATGAGAGACTGGGCTTTGAGTAACATGCAGCTGGAAAGCAGTTTTCTCTTCTTCAGGAGCTATTCTCCATCGCATTTTAGGTGAGAGAAAGTCAATATATATATATATATATATATAGATCCATAAATAATAACTATAAATAAAATTTACAGAACTACTATAAACCATGAAGACCTTTTACAGAAATTATTTACATATTTTTACAGAACTACAACATTAATCAAGTCTTCGTGTTGCACGTCCCACAGGAACGGAGACTGGGACAGCGGAGGAACGTGCGACGCCTGGGTTGCACCAGAAGCCGACGATGCCGAACTCTCGCCTGATCCATGGTACAACGGGGTCATGTACGAAACTATAAAAACAATGAGGGGTCACGGAAGAAATGTGCATTTTCTCAATGTTACGCATCTCACAAATTTTAGAAGAGATGCGCATTGTTCGAGCCATAGGGAGCCAGGGACCCCTGTCGATGCTCCTCATGATTGTAGCCATTGGTGTTTGCCCGGAGTCCCAGACACTTGGAATACTCTTTTGTATGCGTCTTTGTTGGCTAATGGTTACGGTGATAGGACACATATCTGATTGGTGTAATTAATAGATTGCAACTAACCCTTAGACTATCTCCAGCAGGAGTCGAAATTTTAACATTCTCTCTCCTGCCACATCATTTTATTCCCCCTCCACATAATTCAACAATCTTCATTTTCTATCATCTCTACAGCAGGAGTTTTTTCAAAAGATTTTTACTTTATTTGGGACCCACTACTACCCCATCCCTCCAACATATATACCCCACCTTATTTATTCATTTCTTTATCTTATTTCATATATATTACTACTACTACTACTATTATTATTACTAATATAACTCATTTATTTATAATTATAAATTTATAATATTTACATAAATAATATAGAAGCAAAAGCAAAGACTAATCTCTATTTGAAAAGTTTGAAGAATATAGAAGCAAAAGTAAAGAGAAGGAGAATAAGGTGTTGAAAACTCAGATTTTTTTTGGTGTCCAAATTACACAAGACTAATCTCTATTTATAGAGGTGAAAAAATAAAAATTATTGATATAAAAATTATAAATTAATTCCTAGTATTTATCTCCCAAAATATCATTTAAAAATTAAGAATAAAACAAAAAAGGCCAACCAACCAAGCCTTGACACATGGCTCCAAGCATGGGCTAAGGAAAATTCCCGGGACCCATGAGGTTAGAAAAACCGGAGGTGAAAAATTCACCCATCCGATTTCGGTTTTCCAATTCACCCCTCCAAAAACCCCCTGCTGGAGCCAAAAACCCCCAAAAAAACCCCTGCTAGAGATAGTCTTAGTTCTTTTTAGATTGGGACGATATATGATAATACATCAATAGATTCGATGAATTACATTAACGACACATCAAATAGATATATTTAACTCGGGTTCATGTACAAACTTTTAACTTCACTTTCCGACGATAGATATATAACTCTTTATTGCACCATTAATGCAATGAACCTAAACCAGTAATTTCTATAGGTTTACATGCAGCACTATCAGACAATAGAACTGTACGGCCATCCTTGCGCCTCACGACGTACATGCTACGGGTTCGGGCCCTCAGCCCGCCCTCAGCCTCTCTTTAGAAACATTGAAGTCATCCAAAAGAGAATTTTCGATCTTAAGCGAATGATCCAACACATTAAATTACAGATCTCTTTTTATTAATTCGAGGTAGCTACTTAAAATTAGTGCAAGATCCAAAGCCCAAAAAGGGCAGATTAGATATTGGGAAGCGTATTAATATCATATTTTCTTTCAACTAAGCTCGTGTTTCCAAGGTAATCATAAAACGTTAGGGTCAACTTACTCATAAGTCTCTATTAAGAGCTTTGTTTATATTAAACTTTAGTTAATGATCGAATTAATGCTTCAGATCCGAGGAGTTTAATTCATCGAGGAGCTCTTTTTTTTTTGTTTGTCTGATTGACTTTGCCCATTTGATGTTATTTAAGAAATAGGTTATACATTCCTAATTAGAAGAAACACTATTTTCTATCCTGCAACATTTGGATACAGTTGGTATCCACGATTTTTTTTATATTTAAACTTCCTTATACTCTTTTTGGTAATTAATGAACAGGGATTATCCCTTGTTTTTATATCAAAAAAAAAGAAAAGAAATAGGATGATGGTAAGAAGCTACGTAGAGTGTATTAGATGTATTTTAGGTTACATTAATTTTGCATCCTGAACTCCAATTATTACAAAACTAGCAATTTTTTTGGCATGAATAGTAAGTTTTATTCAATGCCAAGCGTACCATTTTATTTACAAACTCCTATTATGACTATCAGTCAACAAAACTAATCTAAGTATTTTGGGCTGTTAAAATTGGTTCAATGTTTCTATTCTGCAACTATTTTTCAATGTTTATTTAACTCCTATTATTCAATGTTTATTTAACCCTGAGAGCAAATTAGCGTCCATTGTGTGAAATTTCATATTTTTCTTGTCTTTTCTTCTCTTGCTAAGTATTTTTATCTATTGGCCCTCTCAAAAGGATCCCTACAAGTGTATCGTGAGCTAAACACAGCAACACCGAGGCAAAAAAGCCCATTATCGTTTTTCCTGCATCACATGAACCAATTTTAACAGCCCAAAATGCTTAGAAAATTCCCTCTTATCAATTTTAACGGCCTGTTAGTATAATATTTGGAAAAAAAAAACACCTTCGCCCGTATTATTACTACGAGTAAAAAAGTAAAAGCCGAAGCACAAAACATAATATATACTATATAGATAGCTTGGGTCACCCTACGGATATGATCCTGGCATTTCGGATTAAACCAAATTGCAGTTTTACACCAAATCAAATCATAGTTTCCGCTTGTAGGCACAAATTATTGACTCGCTAATTAGCACGGACTTCCACATTGTGACGTTTGCTCTTTGACTAAGGGGCTGTTTGGTTGTATGTTTTTACCATGTAAAAGGATGTAAAGTGTAAAAAAGTGGGTCCCAATGTCAGCTTTCATCACTTTCAATTGTTTGTTTGTAGTTGTGAAAATAGCGTAAAGTGATTCCATATGCTGATGTGGCTTGTAAAGTGATTTCATGAAAAAAAGACATGATTTTAGGAGAAAGCTAACATTGAAGTTAGGAAAAAATAATAAAAAATAATTCCAACCAATATGATCATTTGAGTAGGGACCACTTTTTACACTTTCCAAACAAACAATTAAAGTTTTATTTTGCAAACCAAACAAGTGTTTTATGATTCCAATGGAATAAAAAACAAACAAAGAAAAGTATAAAAGTGAAATTGATGAGGTGGACAACAACTTTCCAAGTTGTGTCATAAAAACACAACTTTACCAACAGCAACCAAACAGCCCCTAAGAGGCTCTCGATCGACCCATCATCGGCAATTCAATTAATTCACATGAATTAAAGAGGTGCCATTATCCATGGATATTATCAAATTAAATCTCTTTCACACAAGTTGTATTTGGTTACGTCTTTATTGAGTTAAATGCAATCAAATCACAAGTGGCATGGTCTTAGCTACACAAATGATCGATCTTGACTAAAAAATAAAGGTTCATGGCTTCGATCAAACCCAGTCAATCCATGGACACAGGACTAAGATATTTCAAAGAAACAAATGCGGAAATTGTCCAACTTTTGACATGAATCTTTGTAACAGTAAGTTGGAAAGTTAATAAATGCAAGCTTGTTTACAAAAGGTTTGTAAAAATTAGTTAGGGTTTTTTTTTTTTTTGGGTAAAATTAGTTTGTTCAAATTTGTTTAAATCACAGGAAATGCCCTAATCTTAAGGAATTAATAATAGAGCATATATCGTTAGGAATAAATTGTGAGCGCGTGGGGTTCACGCGGAGCGGAGAGAGCGGAGTGCGGAACACGAGCTGGCCCATGAAGGCCCACCCAAATACATCTTATATTATATATAAGATTGAGATGCTTAGGTTTTTTTTTGGTGATGCAAAGGAGGGTTGCGGTTGTGCACTAGTGCGGCTACAGGAAAGGTGCGTGCAAGGATTTGTTTCGTGTGAGCTTGGCGGCTGCGGGAATTGTTTTCGGCTACTTGGTTTCTTCCTGTGCGGCTGCGGAACAGAAACAAACAGCAGGAGAAAGAGAAGAAAAGCAGAGGCCTTTTAGGGATTTGTATACCCCTTTTGTAGAGAGATATTGTGAGGGATCTGAGAGTTTGTTTGAGGGTTTAGTTTGTGAGTAATTGTAAACCCTAGTTGTACTTCTCTTTCTTTCTCCTTTTTCTTTCTTCGCTCTTTATCTATCTTTTTCTCCGGTTCTTGGGCATCTTGTCCAGGTTACTTAGGAAAAACACTAACTAATTAATATTATGAATAGTGAGCTAGTAGTACACCAGCTACTTATATGTACATTTTTACTGATGTTATGGATCTCAGTCTTATTAGACAAAATTAATATATACTGAATGATATATAATCAGTATTCTCGAAAGTACATACGTATGACCACAATAAATTTCTGTCTGGTCTTTGTCCTTATGATCCGATGCCAAGGGAACAGCTGGAGTTAAATGTACTTATAATTTCTAGTGAATTTATTTATGATTAAAAACAAAAGAAAAGTAACAATCCACAAAAGATAAACTAATGAATGCTTGTTAAAATAGTTTGCTAAATAGTTTGACTTCATTTCCTCAAAAATAGTTTGACTTCATATCTCAAATCATTGGTAAAAATATGATGAAATCTTGAAATGATGATCTCACGTAGTTCGAAAAGGAAACTATCCGAACAAATTAAGCACTTTTCAATTCTAACTATTAAGTTTAAAGTTAGTAATCGTCTCCTTTCATTTAACGACTTATCTAATAAACTTTTTTTTTTTAAAGAAAAAGTTCGAGAGGGAAAACTCATTTTACTCTAATACAAAATAGAGGAATGCTTCGGTACACCGATAATAGGCTTTTTTTAAATGCTAAAAAATCAATAAATGGATGAAAATAGAAAGGGCGATTTTGACATTTCCCATTTAAGTTTTTATTTTTCTGTTGTTCCTCTTCTTCATCGTTTTCTTCCCCTCCCGTATTTGGAGTTTGATTTTTTAATAAATTAATCTTGCTCTTTACCATGAACCCAACTAGAAAAAGTTTGCTTCAGTAAATATTTTAAATTTCTTTTTAATAAATAATTTTTAAAAGTGAGAAAATTTTATATCATGTTCCGATCGAAAATCCTTCTTCAATGATGATTATTACAAGCACTTTCCTTTTTATTTTCTTCTTAGAAAAGATTCCAAACACTCTCATAACCCATGAAACCCATTGAGGGAAACCCAATAAAACTCATCGAATGAGACCCATGAGGAGAACACAATGCAACAAAAAGGATGCGGTAATTGGGATAGTTCGTGAAAAACTATCAACACACATCCCCAAATAGAGAAAATTGTTTATTAAATAGAAAACAATAAAAAATTGAGTTCTGCCATAATTTGTTCAATGATCATTTGGAAAGTGCGAATCTTTTTTTCTTATGAAAAATGCGAAGCGTTACATGATAACACGGTAAAAATTATAACATGAAATATTAGTTAGTTGGGGAATTCTAATTAATCATAAATTCTTTTTATCTCCTAAATTTTATTTCCTAAACTAACCTTTTTATCTAATTGAAATTATGGTTAATTAC